AACACAGAACGTGAGTGGACACGTTTCCAACGCAAATACACAATTTTTTTTATTATGTAGTTTGCCAAATCCCGTTGTTCTATCAATTTCAATTTATACATATATAGTATATAATATCCCGAAAATTATTGCTATTTATTCCATCCTTTATCCAAATCATCACGAATAAATCCAGGAACGTGAGAAGTGTAGCCTCCCGCTGTTCTTTATATTCTCTTTAAAACACCTATTGAGGCTCATAAATGTGAGAGGCAGCGATCTTTGTCTCTGTCTCTCTCTCATTCTGGTAGAGATGATCGAACAGGGAGTCGAGGTAGACGGGGGAGGGGTCTAGGGGAATGGTGTCCTCAGGGACGTCCGGGCACCCTTCCAGCTCCCGTTTGCTCCCCTCGTCTGTCTCCCCCGGTCCCCGCTGGCTCTTTCTCCCATTCTCTCTCTCTCTCTCTCTCTCTCTCTGTCTCTCTCTCGGCCTCCTCTACCCCCCGTTGGGATAAACAGATTAGGTAACTACGTGATAAGTCGGTAAGTGGGTTCCCTCGGCCCACGGTCCAGACCCACCGACATTCGCTCTAACATCTAACTACCTCGTTAGCATCATTAGTAACGGTCGGGGTGTCATTAGATTTCGTTCTCTACGTGTAGTTTTTCCACGGGTCCACCACTGTCCCTCCCTTCTCTTGGGCTGCCCTTCGAAACCTGCAGTTCGCAAGTGCAACGGATACGGACGATCGTGGAGGATCGTGACCCACGGTTTGTGGAATAATTTTGAGTCGCTCGTCAGCATGTCTATGTGTGTGAAAATGTTATAATAAGTCGAAGATAGAGGGCAAGTGAAATTGCAGCTATCTTACATGAATTTTTGGAGCCTGACTCGATCTTCTCTCGGAAACAAGACTCGCGTAGGATAGTTTTCCGTTTTCCGATTTGTCATTTTCATATTAAATTTCGTATTATATTTTAACTTATTTTAAATTGATTGAGAAAAATCTGACTACGTGTACCGATGTCCCCCCCCCCCCATGCCGTAATATTATATAAAAGAGTGAAACGAATAAAAAGGTAAAAGCTGTACGCATAAGAGAATGAAATCCAGTAGCTTCAGGCAATGATTTCTACATTAAAAGTATATTAAATCCTATTCAGAAAAGATACGCTACTTCTCGTGAGGAACACGTGTGAATGATTGATGTCCCATGCTTTCCATGTACGAAAAATTGATCGTCTCCCTTCGCGTTTTCTGTTGGCAAAAACAAGCGTCAACAAAACGACAAAGTGTGTCACGAAAAGGAGATGCAAGTGAATCCCAAGCGCGAAAGTCGCCAGGTCTCCTGCCCCTCTCTCTCTCTCTCTCTCTCTCTCTCTCGCTCTCTCTCTCTCTTCTGTACCCGGGATGCTACTAATAAATTGGATCAGACCGACTCCCGATGAGTTGTACGAGTTGTCTGGATCCGGGCTTTACTTCGGACCGACTCTAATCTAAGATCTTGAGTGGATTTCAGTTTGGGGCATCGGCAAATTTATTTAGCCGCCGCGGTCGACGCCCGATTCACTTCTCTATCTTTGTTTTACTTTGCTGCCGCAGCAACAACGGCAGTCGTTGCTTATCGATATGGCAAGAATAGGGATCAAGAATTTTTACGCATCGTGGTGTATTTCGCAGGATCACTGTATAGCTCTGCGGTTCATTAATTTGACGTTACGCACGAAATTTCTCTTCCATCTTCTAAAATCGAATTGTTCAATCGAAGTGTTTAAAAGATTCGACATATGCGCAGAATGATTGATAAATTGAAGAGCTCTCATAAAGTTTTCCCATAAAACCTTGATAAATCCGTTAAAAAAAATCTGGGTTCAAATCTGGGAAAACGGCGTCAAGTCGTTCTCTACCTTCGCTATATAATGATCAATTTTATTCCGACAAGAATTGAATGGGAAATATAAGATCGAGTTTAACACTTGCGAAAGAATGTTTTTGTTAGGAACAATTTGTAAACTTTTATAAGTAATAAATAAAACAATAATTGCTTTGTACTCTTTAAATAATATTACTTTCTTCGTTTTTATTATTCCCGTACAGTACATTTTATTCGGAAAGCATCCTTGAGACATTCTTAAACCTTTCAGGAACGTCCTGTGGACGTCTTTAGAACGTCTTTGGGGCATCCATTGAGGGTATGAGTTGTATGTGCTGTACGGATTATTAATTATTAATATTATGAAAAAAATACGTGTAATATATACTGTTGGCAAATTTATGTCGAATATAACACGTTTTACATTTCCCAAACCGTCCACTCCAATTTTTGTGTTTATTTAACACATAAGATAAATATCAGAAAACAACACAAGCATCGTGTAAAAAAAATGATCAAGAAAAAGGTAATGCTAACACAGTTTGTAAACAAACTGTGAAAGTATATATTTTTTAGTATAATTAACATTTATGACATGTTAAATTAACACAGTATTTCATTTATTCATCTTAGAATTTACGCTTTAAAATACATTATTTTTCACTCACTCATAAATTGCGTCATTTTGACACTAAAAAAACGTTGAATATCAATTTAATACAAAAATCTAAATGACATAATCACGTTATGTTACATTAACATTCGAATATGTTAAAAAATTCAACGCAAACAGTTAACAGAAACGTGAGCTTCCAACACAAATGCATAATGGTCTTTATCGTGTATTACGAAGTAAATAGATAGTGAAATTTTCCACAAGAATCAAAAAAGTCCAAAGAAATTTTTTCTTTTTAAATTCTACGATCCTCAAAATATTAGGTGGTCGAAACTTAAAATTTTATTCTTATACCTATTCCTCTATCTGGAGAAAAATTACCATATTTGTACCATATTTTATACATAATAAAATACAGTTTGAAGATAAGATCTTTTTTGTTACATGAAAATTCAACATTTACAGAACTGTTTGGTTTTCGCGAAAAACCGTCCAATTATATTATCGAATGAAAAGGTACACATAATCGTCGCTTCTTAGTTAGATCTAGCGGTAATTTTCTGGATGGTTATGTGAAAAACAACCGCAATAATCATTCGGGTATCCATTAAAATAAATCCGTATCGGCACGATAATCGTGCAAGCGGGAGCACGAGCGGAAACAAAGTTTTAAGTGCATCCACAAGTCCGCAACGTCGTTAAACGCCCTGATAAAATACCGGCCGTCCGGAAAGCTCGAATCGTTTATTTTCGCGTGGGTTGGTTTAGAGCGAAAATCCTCGCGGATTCTCATTGATATTAATTTTGCAAACGACACGGGAGATCGCAGCGACCGTAGCGTATAATTGCACGTCCGTGACAGTTATGAAAGTTCAGCGGCATCGAGGCGAAGTATCTCGATGCACGCCTGCGAATGCAGTGCCATTTGACTGCACCGTTGATGGTGCAACACCATCACGCGTTATCCCCATCTCGCTTTTCCACCCTCCCTTTCTCTCTTTCCCTTTCCGTCGCCGTTATTATCCTCTGTGTCGAGAGGATGATAGGGGGAGAAAGAACGAAAGAGAAAGAGGGCCGGCATAAAGGCTATAGAGAGTAAAAGAGAGGAAGAGGAGGAGACATTGCGCGCGAGTGAAAGAGAGACGGGCGGACGGCGGAGAGAGAGTGGCATGAATTTTTATGAGCTTAGGAAATTAATTTGTGTTTTTCGCTAAGCCCCGGCTTAGCGCCGCGGTAATTAATTGCGCTGATTGCTCTGCATCATTGATGAGCGGTTCCGGCCGCTTCGTAACGTCTGCTCCCACTTCGCGTCTCGTTGTATGCGCGCGTATCCGACCGATGCCTTTATATCGGCGCTTCACTTTTCGATCCTTCGTTGCACGCGCGCGATCACAGTTAACCACGTTTTACTCAACATTTTTAATTAACATGCTCTGTCTGCTCGTATAATTGCCCGTATAATGGCGAAATAAAATGTTGCACGCTGCTATCGTAACCGAAATACAACAGGAGAATAATATAATTATATATTAATAATCAATTGTTGAAATATTGAATCGTGTGTCAATGATAATACTTGGAAATCTTTTTGCTCAAGTACTTGAATATTGAGGGTAACATGATAAAATGTAGGACCTCATTTTATTTTTTGTGTAATTTTTTCATTTTTTAGTTACATTCAAATCAATGATGTAACCGATAATTTGTTAAAATTTAACATAAAACGCATTTGGAATGATTAAAGCAGTTTACAAAATGGGAAAAATTGTTTAGACGAAAATAGATGTGACTATCTGAATAGGATGGTAAAGATGGTAAGATTTTTTTATCTGAAAACTTTCAGGTTTATTTAGAACTTCCCAATCTTGAAGTCGTAGAAAATTATACTATTAATTCCAAAAGATGGAAAATCATAATAGTGAAGATGTACTTCTTGATACGAATAAGTTCATTACTGCACTTGCTAAATTAAATTGAATTAAGTAAACGAATATGAATGAGCGTGCGTCTATGTTTACTACGTACGGCTCTTATTTTGTGAGTTATAAAATCTGATACACAACTTATTTACACTGATAAGCACTAATGTAAACTGCCGTGAAAAAGCAAGGAATTATGTTGATCATTTTATTTTGCAATAACGCTTGCCGTATAAATTTGAAAATTCCGCGAGATTGTCAGTAACTCACAAGTTTCTTGAAGTTTCCGAGTTTCGCAAACCCTAGTCAAGCACAGGCAAATATGCGGAGTACCGAACTAAGTTCTCCTGGAACTTTGCAAATTCGAATCTATCAAGAATTAAAAGGTGAAACTTTGTCGAACTCGTCCCTTTAAAAGAAAAATATTTTCTTTATATTGACACCCAACATATATATATTATCAATATTAATTACGCATAAAAAAATGTATTATATAATTAAACTGACAAACATTAATTCGATATATTTTTTTATATTCAGTCGAATGTTTTTACCTATTATTATATCATATTATTTATATATTATCATTCGATTCGTCATTATTACTTCTGTTATCGACAATAGTTCGTTTCAGTGTTTCAGAAAATAAAATTTGAATTATCATTATATTAAGAATTACTGCAAAAGCGATATTCGAAAAACACTTAACAATTCTTCCTGCTCGTTACAGATACTAGTTACTCCGCCTATCATCCAGCGCTACACGGAGTTGGCGAGGATTCCTTCGTGCGGAGGAAACAGCGTCGAAACAGGACAACTTTCACCCTTCAGCAACTGGAGGAACTCGAGTCCGCCTTTGCGCAGACTCACTACCCGGACGTCTTTACGAGGGAAGATCTGGCCATGAAAATTAATCTCACGGAAGCTAGAGTGCAGGTGAGTGTAACAGTTACAATCGCGGGGAGCGCTTTCTTTCCACCAAAATCGAATTTTTCAATCCTAATCCACTTATCCCCACAATTATGTTTCTTAACAATAAATAAGATAACTATTAGGATTGCCAATGTTTCAAATTAAAAGAAAAAGAAAAACGGGATAATGGAAGCCAGAAAGTTAATTAGTACGTAAATCTTTGTATATAATAATTTAATTTATGAATAAAGTCGATCGAAGATATTTAAAATATACTTCGCATTGTATAACTATATAATTGTTGACTTTATGTTATATTTTTTACCGTTTAGATTTTATTTTGTAAGCATTAACAATGATCCGATTGTGATCGAAACGTTTGTTTCAGCCGGCATGTTATTAAAATTTATAATAATTCATTAAGACATTTTTACTTATCTACTAATTTGTTTACACGTAAAATTTCTGGCTCGTAACCATTTTTCTTTTAACTTGTTTTTACTTTAAATCATTATTAATGGAAAGAATTGATATAAAGATAACGCAATTGTGATATATCCCTCAAATTTCGCAATCCTACAACCTAATTAGACTCTTTTCAAATTATGACATTTCAAGTATATTAAAAGCAGCCGCGTGAGTCGTTGAATTATTATTAACATAATTATTTACTTTTTATTCAATTTTATTTTGTCAGTTCTCGTAAAGTATCTTGCCGCGCATAATATAATAATGTCCGTAATCCGATTAAATTACAAAAAAGATCCATTAGAATAAGGGAGATGAACAAATTCATGGCAGAAGCACTGTGTGCATTATATTTAAGGATATATTAAAACAGGTTACTTGAAAGTATGCTAATCACGTTGTATAATCACGTTTATTCGATAACATGAAAGCACGTGCATTAAAACTTCACAGAATGTTCGCATGCTCGCGTCCGAGCATTGGCAGCAGCGAGCTTAATCTTTTAATGCGTCTCAGCGCATTGAGATTGGATTCCGCGTTTTAATGCGATGAGAAAATTACGCGCGGCAACCCGATAATTTTTTGTCTGCCTTCGTGAGCGTTAAGTAGAGAAATTTCCGAGAACATTTTTCGCGCGCTGCATGTTTTCGCTGTAATATTTCATGGAACACACAATAGAATGTATTACCCGCCTACGTATCCATTAGTATCCAAATGATTATATCGCGAAAAAATATGCGTAAACCGGATTTCTGCAATCCAAAGCGGAATTTTTTTTTTTTTTTTTTTTTTTTAATCGATTTTTGTCCTTTGCCACTCCCGGATTTAAAAAAATTGCCATATTTATAATTTATTCGTACGAAAAATAACGCGCCATATATTTTATGTATGATGTATGCGTGTATATATATATATATATATGATGTATACGCGACACAGATGGGGAACGCGCGAAATTTAGTCAGGATGAAAATATATTTTAGATTCAATAACGGCAGATTTGAAAATTAAAAAGAAAATCTGTAAAAGACCTGTAACTATGATCGATTGTCTGCGGCCGTACGGTGTTGCCGCAAGAGCGAAAGCGTATGTACCAGAGGGGCGAATCGGGGCAGGGAGGGCGGGAGGGCGGGGGTGGGGGCGAGGGGCCCTGCAGGACCCCCAAGAGGCGCGCTGACACCCTCGACCTGACGTAATCTTCTGACAGAGTAAGCCGGTAATCTCCGGGATTACTTTGTACTCCTGCAGGCTACGTCCTCACGGCCATATTTACTCACGCCGTTATAATTCGCGCTGAGAATCCCTGCAGCGTAACAGCGATTCCAGCCTAAAATCCTCGTCGGAACATCTGCAGAGGATATCTGATTACCAATGGCGGCTTTTGATTTCTCGGCAGACGCCAACCTGCGTCTCCGTCGGATTTCAGATGATACGTTTTGACAGCGCCTTTCGCAATTTTCCAAGTCAAACATACCTCGGTAATCACACGGAAAAGAAAAAAAAAAAAAAAACGATTTTACTCAACTATCTGTTTGGCTAAATATCTAATTTGAGTATAGTCGTAGATTTGAAAATAATTTTTTGTTGAATCATCAAAGCAATTGGGAAATCGAAGCATAATGAGCAATGCTGCAAAAAGTTCTAACATTCTGGCAATCAACTTGAGCGTCCTATATAATTATTTTGATAATCTAATAAAATTACTTTCAAATCTAATAATAATTAAATTTTTAGATACTCTTGAGCAAAACTGCTCTTTCCGTGTCTTATATTCATAGCATTATTAAATCAATTTACTACTATGATTATTTCACGCAAAATATTTTTAAAAATAATTAATTATTATTTGCAATTTTTTTTAGTGTTTGATAAATTGTAGCGAAAGTGTTTAATGATAGTTTGTATTATATATATGATGTCAACAATACAAGTTTCCTGGAAAAAGATTAAAGTGTCTTTCATACATGAAATTCATAAAATTATCTTTGAAGATTTTTCAATACAATGTTTAACGTTAAAAATTCTATTTATAACCTACATGATCCTTTATTTTTTTCTTTTATTTAAGAGTATTTTATTCCATTAAAGAAATCACTAATCTCGACTTTTTCTAATTTATCAATCATACCGATCATTCCTTCAGCAATCAAAGTAAACATTAAAAAAAAAATGTACATAAATAATAACACTAAATAATTCGTATTTAGTCCTGCCGTAATCTGATATATTTATAATTTAATTGATACAAAACGAAGAAAATTTATTTTATCTCGCGTCTTAGTTGAAAAAATTCATTATGAAATTTATAAATAATCAATATTATTATTTTTTTTAAATAATTATTATAGTAAAATATAACCCGCTTACCCCGACGAAAATCCGAAAGAATCTCGGCGCTCCGCCCGGCCTCTCATTATTAATATCCTGACTGACGAAAGGATCCTCGATCACAAAGTCTAAGAGGCAGCCTGGCGTGCATTGTGCGAATTTACAAGGAGGCTGGCAATCTTTACGAGAGAGATACGACAGTGTACACATGACAATGAAAGAGACAGAGGGGTGGCGCGAGGCTGTTGGTCTGGCTGTGACGCAATTACGGCGCAGGCTCATTGTTTCATTAGGGAAGACAAAGGGAATCTGGAATAATGGACAAATAGGCGCGTTTATGTAGCGCCCGTCCTCCTCTCCAGGCTCCAATTAGAAGCCTAACCTCCCAGAGAGGGGGAGGGGAGGGGGGGGCAGTTGAAGGAGGGTCGGCTGTATCGTCGAGGCACGTACCGTATACGACGTCCTCGCGCGCGTCGCGAGCGGGTGTACATTACCTCGCACGCAACATTCGTACGTGTACACGCACACGCTCGTGTACACACGGACGTGCGTGTACACGTGCGAGGCCGGGCAATTACCGGCGTGCGTGAATTAGACGCGTCGCTCCCGCGCCGCGTCAAACGGCACTCGCACCTGCGCTCGTGCGACGCGCTCTGGACCGTGCGTGGACACCGCGATTACGTCGGCTCTCTTCTATTTTCGGTGATTGGATTTCGCGGAGCTCTACCTCTTCTCTTCCCTTCGCGCAGTTGTCCGCGCTCCTCCTCGTCGAGTTGCGAAATGCAGAAAATTTTTCACGCTCACCAATCTCGCGAATCTCGAGAAAAGTAGCTCGCCGGTGTAAAATATTAGTATCCCTATCTCCGCGATGGTTTTGACGAAAAAAAAAAAAAAAAATATTTGAATCCACAAATTGGGTTGGAAATTGAGAAACGAGCGGAAAATTTCTATAAACGTGGATTTATTGAAAAGTGGACATTTTTCAATTTACGGGCTGTTGGAAAAAAAAACAGCTTTCCGTGAATTAATCAGTAGTTATCGTTGTCACGCAGCGTTTTAAAAAGCATGTCACACGTGATACGTGCGATCAGTAATCCCGCGACAAAGAGCGACACATTCGTTTAACAAGGGGGTGCAGCCGATTAAAAACGTTTTACGCCCATTATCAACGAATTTCAGATTAAATTTGTATTGGGAAAAAAGTGGAGAGGAGATATATATATACATATATATATCGCGCAAGGGTGTAAAGGAAAACGGCGGTGGTGGTCCCTATACGAGACCATGGCTTTGTTCCCAGCTATTACTCGTCCTCCGCCGCCCCCTCCTGTAACCCTTAGGATATTATTATATCTCCCCCGTCTGTCGCCCCTCCTCCATCCTCTCGCGATGTTCGAGGTGGCGGTAGAGAGTCGTACCCATCGTATTTATTTTATTAAACCATTTCCCGTTGCTTCCTCCTGCGAAAGTTCCGCGCTCGAATGTAAGATAATCATTTTCCAGACCCATTACACAGAATAGGATATACCAATCCTATTAATTCCAGCTCTTTTTACTAAGGACTTTTTGTGAAATTTTTCTTTTTTTTTCTAAAGTCTCTTCTTTGTTCACAATTTAATACAGTTTTGGCAATAAATATAAAACGCAAATTAACGTAAACGTTTTATTACAAAATTAAATTAAAAAACAGTTTTATTGAAAAAATAATATTTATTTTGATAATATAGCCATTTCAATATTTTGTTAATCTCTTTTTACCTGTTATATTACTTTTTCCAAGAAAATGTGATAAATTGAGGGTGTTTTGTACTTGTGTATGTATATATATATATATATTTACGTACAATATTTTCTTTTCAAAATAACTTTTTTACTCAAAATCAGGTAAATCCGACGAAATTTATGCTAATTTTTCAATATAAAGTGATATAGCACCATATTATAATAAATGATGCATCGGATGTTCTCTATGATTTTTTCTAATCAGCTACTTTACGTTCTACAAACAAATAGCTCCGATTACGTTTTACAAGATGTTTACTTGAAGGCTTGTAAAAAAATTTTCTCAGATTTTCTAGGTATTTCTATTTGAAATTCCAGCTGAAATTAAAGAATTTCTTAATGCAATTTTGAAATCAATTTTTTTTTCACGAAATTGTCTTTTTTACAATTATAGAGCTTTATATGCTAAACTTATAAGATAGATACAGAGAAAACTCACTGCAGTATCAGTAGATTATTCTCTTATGGCTATACTTATTGCCAGAGAAAAAGACATAACGACAACAATTATAAAGGACACAACTATGCAAATTTTATATGTACAATTAATGTACATAGTTGAGTATATTATTTTTTAATAATTATTTTATAAGTCTAAGAGATAGTTTATTCAAGTATGTACATTACTTCTACAAATAAAACTTATATAATTGTCACCTTTATACAAACCTGCCATATTTTTTTCTAAATGCGCGCGCACGCATGTATTGCTTTATCATCCCGATTTTTTAATAAAAATTCACGAGACCTATAAGAGTGTACGTAAATATATGCGCGTGTGTAAGTCGTAGTTATTGCCAATGAGATCGTTATTTCGTATCATTAAGAAAAAATTATGAAAGGAACGACGTTTTCGAAAAGAAGATGGAATTTAAATTTAAAAGTAAAGTTTCAAAAATTTCGAACGGCGATAAGGTCCCATGAAAATTCTTGACTCTTTTCAAGGGTAAAAGAGAAATCCCCTGAAGACTTCGGGTTTCCCTAGGCAGTAAATATCCTGAGTTTTACTATTATTCGTGTACGTGCACCGAGTGAGGATTCCGCATGAGAACTCGGTTATTGTACATTCATTGTCGAGACAAAAGTCAACAGTGGAGAACCGCTGGGTGTAATAAAGTCTATTTCAGCTGGTATTATGTCAAGTTAGCCTCGTTAGCGGAACTCGAGCTTTTTAAAAAACACTCGGTCGCCGTGGTTGCTGTCGGCTCGTTGAACATGCACGGCGGAAAGTGCCCTCCCCCCCCCCTTCCCCCCTTTCCCAGCCACCCAACCATCCCTCAACATCCGGCCAACCAGCCTGCCGCACCCTCGTGCTTTTCTCTGCCTCAGAATGCCACCTCCACCCTTCCTCCCCCTCCTCCTCCTCCCCCCCCCTTTTACCCTGCACATACAATTATCCTTGCACATTTGCGGACATTGCGGAGTGCCATAGATACGACCGCGTCCTCCTCATTTTTCTCCTATCCATCCACCTCTCCCGTCGTTTCTATGACTTACGCGGAGACTTAACCCTCTCGTCCGTGCGCCGCGTGTAATGTATAGTCAGATGACTGAGATGTCGAGAATATTGAATCAGAGAATTATGCAAACTTCCGCGAAGTTGGCTTTTGAGAAGTTTAACTTCCCTGGATGCACGTATATCGCTATACGGTATTTATTCGTATTTAGCATAATTCAAAAATTGCATTATGAAAAAGACATAAAACATTAAAGGCACGAAATAAAAGTGTGGGACAAAAATTGTTAGGCGATATTGAGTGTTAACACAGATATTTACAAATATTTTTATAACATTTACGTATCAATTGATAATGAGTTGGAAATCAGCGAATTAAGCATCAGTAGTATATATATATATGTTTTTTTTTACGTAAGAAGAGTTCTATTAAAAAGAATTAATTTCATTTACTTACAAAACAGTAACTCCTGCACCAAAGTAACGCTTCCTATTTGATTGATTTCCCAAAGCTTAAGCGTAACGTTAATCTATGCTAACCGCGACGATCGTAACCTTGCAGGTGTGGTTCCAAAATCGGCGGGCGAAATGGCGTAAGAGCGAGCGATTGAAGGAGGAGCAACGCAAACGCGAGGGTGGAAACAGCGGTGGCGGCGGCGGCGGCGGCGGCGGCGGCGG